TGACAAGTCTGGAAAAAAGAAGCGAGAAGCTAACAAGAATAATGGCTAACATTCAGAATTTATCTGCTTTATGGTTGTATCCCATGTAGAGAAGTAACACAGACAAGATAAAAAATGCACAATTGACACACTGATGCATAGTAGACATTTTAATATATGTAGACTTTTTAGGAATGTGCAATATTGATATTAACTATCTGGGGCAAGATTCTCAGCTAGTGTAAATCATTGGAATTCCATTGGCCTTAATGGGCACCTACGGTTTTACTGCTGTTGCTGATTTGGACCAGCACTTTGATATGTTATGAATTTTGGAATTTGTAGGCATTGAAAGAAAAGGTGAAATGTGGCTATATCCTCATTTTTCAATAAACAAAAAAGCCATCTTTAAATGAAACAAGGTGACATTTCTTTTGACTAAATAAAAATCAGAAGAACCACAATGAACATGTTGTTTTTATTAAAAAATGCCAGTTCATAATATATACAGGATTTTGTTAAAGCAAAGGTTATTGTAGTGAAGTCAGTCCTGAGACCTTTGGTTAAAGATAGGTATTTCCTCTCAGCTTCAGCAGCGGGGGAAAACCATGCTGTCCTTGTCTATTCTGCCCATGTTGAAACTTTGTAGAATTACAGGGCCCTCTAGTGTCCAAGATTTGAATAGTTTGAATTGTTCAAACAGCTGCACCCAGTGAAAGTACCAAGTGGAATTTACTTGTCCTTTGTGATTTAACTAAATGGCATTATACGTGTCTGAGATATGTAATCTACTCTGCATACATATTTATGAAATAACTTTTATAAAAATTATTGTGAACTGGTTTAAACTAAGGAAAAAACGTGTGGAAGTCACATTTTTTTTCAAGCTAAAGATTGTGTTAAACTTAAATGTGGTCAATTAAAGGGAAAAAGTGCATGATGCTTAATTAGAGAACATTATTAGGTTGACAACTCCAAATGAAGTCAGTGGGCGCTGTGAAGGACTGGGCTCCTATGAAAATCAGCTTCTAGATATCCTTTTGATATGCATTAAAAGGATATCGTGTCATTTTGCCTTCCTTCAAAGATGACTTTCAAATATGTCTTCTGAATTTGCCATAGTAAGTCTCCATAAAGAGACGTGGGTCCAGATCCATTGCTCAGTTTCTAGATGCAAAATGGGGAAGTGATTCAGAAGCAGCAGGGTGGCTGGCCTCTTTCAAGGTGTCTACAATGAAGAACATCAGTGCGAATGCCAGATGTCTGCCAGTGCCTCTGCCATCTGCTGTTCCTACTTAGGAGAACAACATACAAATGTAGTTTTGGCCATGTGATCAATTATTTACCAATCACATTGGTTATGAACATCCAATGACTTTATATATGTGTATGCATGTATTAATTCACATTAAGGAATCTTGTGTCAAAGAGGGCATGCCTGATTTTCCTGAGGGAATTCACAGCATTAATTGAGTTAAATGAACTGACTTTTTTTTCTTTTTTTGAGTTGACAAGTTGATGAAAGGTTATGGTTTCTTGGATTATTTTAGATAGCATCTAAAAGCACTGGTAGCTAATGAATATATCTGTTTGTATACATGTTGTCTGTATAAACTATGACTTAGGTAGCTTACAGTGAAACTTAAAAAATAATCTATCCTATATTCATCAATGAAAATTCTGAATTTTTTCTCTTAGGGAAATGATCGCCAATCTAAATCTACTGTTGGCTCCCGTGACACAGGAGACATGGTGTCATCTCCTCAGCCTCCAAAGAGAAAGGAAAAGAGAGAACAGACTCAAGAGAAGATCAGTTTTTCTAACAAACCCACAAAAGTGAAGCAAAATATAAGAGCAACAACTTATATCCTTCAAGATAATGGTGAGTTTTTAGGTGAAGTATAACATCATGTAGGTTCCTGAACACTCAGGGCCAGATTCCGGTCTTGGTTATACCAGTGAAAATTTGGAATTACACATTGGTGTAAATCCCAATGAGGTCATCAGATTTTCAGTGTACTTTGTCTGCCACATTAATTTCCAGATCAAATCATCACGTGTCATATGTATCTGTATGCAGCATTCACAGCCACAGCCCAATTTATAAAAGACAGACTAACCTGGTATATACCATATATAATGTAAGCTAAATAACTTAGGGTTGCCCAACCTTTTATGCTTTTGGTACAGGCATAACCAATGGAAAAACACTGTCAGAATCCCTTTGTCATTGTTCTGCATTGAAAAAGAAAAAAAAAAAGAAAAACAAAGCTGGCCTGCTCCAAGGACATTACAATGTCCCAGAGGATCCCTGCTGGCTGCCTGGTTCTGATAAAACAAAATGATTTAGACCCAGAGGGAATAGATCAAATGTAGAACTCCAATTATCCAATAGCTGCAGAGACTAATCACACTTCAGACTTGCTGGAGGCAACTTCTGATTTGCTTCCCCACTGTGTTATGGCAGCAATTTAGAAATTTAATAATAAATGTTCTCTTTGGGAAATTGCTTTCCTCCCCTTACGGTGTAAGAATTTGTTTTATGTCTAGCAGAATATCTACTCTGGACAGATGCTATTGAGACATTAGTGTGCTATTTTTTTCTTAATAATGGTTCAAAAATTGTTAACATGGAGCAATTAATATCTGTCACGAAAAATAAATTACACTTTTCATAACTTCTGATGTTTCCCCAAACTGCTGTTTAAATGTGCTATAATTATGCATCATGCTTTATAACTTTCGTGTATTGGATCCAATAGTGCATCTGCAATGGTACAGGATTTACAAATTGTACTTCCTGATTCTGAGGAGTAGATTTGAAAATTGGCATTGAAAGATCAATGAAGCCCTTTACTCTGAATCACTTTGTAGTATAATGGTATCTTTCTTAGAAGAAGGTTGTAGAATTGCTGCTTTATTTTTGTTGTGAATCTAATGCCCTTGAATTGTAGTACTGATGTTACTATAGGTTGACATCATTATCCAGCTGTTTATGGGTCATGTTCAAATTATGTTTGTTTCTTGACAGAGAGATAATTTTCTTATTATACTAAAAGTGACCAAGGGCAATTTTACTGTCTGCCTTTTAGAACTGGCCATCTTCATAGGTTCCCTTTCTTGAAATTGCCTCTGCAAATTCCTCTCTTAAAAGCTATATGCAATGACTTGCAATCTGCAACTTGGTTTAACTGATAGAGGGTAGTCATCCTTGGATGCACCATTCTGAAATTCCAGCTGCAGTTATCAAAGGCTCTGCCTCCTACCTGTTCTCAGGTCCTGGCTTTTCACTGCTAAAGGAGTTTCTTAAACAATTCTCTTATCCCTGATTATGTCATTTAGTTTAATACTACTAGTTATTCAGTAGGTAGTAGTTAAAGTGCTTAAATTAGATGATGATAAGGATTTAATTATGGTTGAGGATACGATTATGTCATGGAGGTCGCAGAAGTCACGGAATCCATGACTTCCAGTGACCTCCATGACACTGGGGGCCCTGCAGCTGACCAGCTGCCGTGCGGTGTGAAAAACTGCTATCTGACTGAATGTGTTACTTAGGGTGTACTGAGCATGCTCACACGAACAGCAGGGGACCCCTGCAGCAGCCCAACAGGTGGCAGAACCCCTCGCAACTGACCAGCCGCCTCTGGGGACCCCAGAGATGCCCAGCTGCCGCCGCCAGCAGCAGAGGGATCCCGGAGCTACTCAGCGGCCGCTGGAAGGGGCCCCAACAACTCCCCAGCCGCCAGCAGAGGTGGCGTGGGGACCCCCCCAGTTCCAGTCCCACAGGGCAATGGGGACTCTGTAGCTCCCAGCTGCTGACGGCGTGGGGTGTGTGTGTGTGTGCGATGGGGAGGAAGGGGGAGGGTGCTGGACCCTCCTCCCTCCCCATTTTGTCAGGGACATATTTAGTAAAAGTCAGGGACAGGTCATAGCTTCTGTGAATTTTTGTTTATTGCCTGTGACCTGTCCCTGACTTTTACTAAAAATATCCATGACAAAATTGTAGCCTTAATTATGGTAGATCTGGAGAAGCCTTGAAGCACTGCACTTAATGAAATAGTATTTGCCACAGACTAGGATGTTAAGAACCTGGAATGCCCTGCGGAAGGGTATACCTTGCAAGGAGTCTCTTACTTTTGTATTTTTTGCCCTTGGTGTTAAAAGCAAGAAGAGAGGCCATGCTCTTGGAGAAGGCTTTGTCTGTTTGGCTTACAGTTTTTAAGGGCTCGGAGACCTCTAACTCAAAATCCTCATATCAGTCTCCAAGAATACAGGAATTATATTCTGTTCAGACAGTTCCATCCTGGTTAACTTGAGGCCTTGGAACCTTTTTCTTCTCCTTAGAAAAGAAGCACTCAGTAGTGTTGAGAGTCTCTTGATGCAGAGGTCTTAAAGTAGCTCTCAAAATCCAGGTGTATTGATCCACTCTCCTGTTTGGTATATTGAACCTGAACCTCTGGGACGAGATGTTCCTGATTCCAAGTTAAGGAGTCAGTGTACACGGTCTTCTCTGATCCAGGTAACTCTGACCCAGTGATTTGATAGTGTCAGTTTGTTTGGAGTGAGGATTTTCATAAGTAAGGGTTCTGGGTTCTGGAGATATTTCTTTAGGTGGGTTCCTGAATTCACGTAGACACCCATTGTAAGAAAGATAAGGTATAAAACAAAACCTTAATTAAGCAACTGCTTAACTGATTATCTGTACAACCTTTCTTAGGGTCCTTTTAATTTCGATTGCTTAACTAAAGAAAAAGGACTTGAGAGTTGAATGTAGTTTTATACAATTTATTAAATATCCTTAATAATAGCAACTAATAGTATAGGATACAAGAACGCAAAAATAGTATTGGACTCTGATTTGACTAACAGACTAGAAAACTGGTCAAAATAACCATTCAGATTTTCAGAATAAAATCACATGACCACAATAGAAAACAACAATTATACTCAATTACTATCTTGGGAAGATGACTTTGTTTGGATTTTTGAATAAGAGTCCCTCAAAATAGGGCCTCACTTTCTGCTAGTTGGTTATCAGCTCCGGTTTGCTAACAAGAGTAAGAACAATCCAAAGCTAGATCACAAGACAATTTAATCAATTATTTACATGCCAATTCACCAAGGTCTCCTTCCCAATGGATCTATAGTAGTCAACCCTTTTAACCTATTTTCCAATTAATCATATTAGTCCCAGGATCTGATTAACTATCTAGAATAAATTACCACATTTATAACAGACTGTATAGACTGAGTGCAGTTCAAGAAGCTTGCACACTTGGTTTCATTTATGTATGTTTATACCTAGAACTTGAAAGGCAGTATGAAATCATTAACTGTGGTAGACACACGTCCATATACAGTGTTCTACAATCTTAGTTAACAACACTAACTTGTTCCGTTTTAAGGCTACTTTACAATAGTCTTGATTGGCACCTGTTACAAAACAAAGACACACACAGTAACTCTATGATAGTCTTTAAATCCATGGTATGCTCACATCTGGAATACTGCGTGCAGATGTGGCCTCCCCATCACAAAAAAGATATATTGGAATTGGAAAAGGTTCAGAAAAGGACAACTAAAATGATTAGGGCTATGGCATGGCTTCCGTATGAGGAGCGATTAATAAGACTGGGACTTTTCAGCTTGGAAAAGAGACGATTAAGGGGGGTGTGGTGGGGCGACGACTCACCGGTGTGGCACCTCCTGCTGGTTGTCCAGGGAATTAGCTCTTCCAGCCCAGAGTGCCCTCTGCGGGCCAGTGTCTCGCCTGCTGCTGGCCCCGTGTCCTTCCCAGACCCCGGTGCCCTTTGCCCAGGGGTTCTGCCCACCACAGTATCCACTCACTCTGGGTCTCCCCTCTCAGGGCAACCCCCAACTCCCTATCCCCACCTTGCCTCAGTGGCTACTGCCAGTCATCATCTAGCCCCCGCTCCCTGGGGCAGACTGCAGTCTATAAACCACTCATCATTGGCAAGGGGGGTTGGACCAGCTGCCTCTGCCTATATCTGGGCTGCCCCTCTGCAGCCCTAGTACCCTTTTGTGGGCCCTTAACTTGGCCTGCAGCCTGGGGCTTTGCTAGGCTGGAGCTCCCAAGCTCCCTCTGCCCTTCCCCAGCACTGCTCCACCCTAGGTACCCTCCTCAGCTTCCCAGGCAGCCAGGTCCTTCTTTTTCCACAGCTAGAGAGAGTGTCTGTCTCAGGCTCTGGCCCTCAGCCCTCTTATAGCGCCAGCTCTGGTCTGATTGGGGCGTGGCCCCATCTGTGGCTGCTTCCCCCAATCAGCCCAGCTTTTCCCCTGCCAGAGCCCTCTCCCAGGGCTGTTTTAAGCCCTTCAGGGCAGGAGCGGGGTGACATGATGGAGCTCTATAAAATCATGACTGGTGTGGAGAAAGTACATGAAGAAGTGTTATGTACTCTTTCTCATAACACAAGAACTAGGGGTCACCAAATGAAATTAATAGGCAGCAGCTTTAAAACAAACAAAAGGAAGTATTTTTTCACACAATCAGAGGGGTAGCCATGTTAGTCTGGATCTGTAAAAAGCAACAAAGTGTCCTGTGGCACCTTATAGACTAACAGATGTATTGGAGCACAAGCTTTTGTGGGTGAATACCCACATGCGTCTGACGAAGTGGGTATTCACTCACGAAAGCTTATGCTCAAATATGTCTGTTAGTCTATAAGGTGCCACAGGACTCTTTGTTGCTTTTTCACACAAAGCAGTCAACCAGTGGAACGCCTTGCCAGAGGATGTTGTGAAGGCCAAGGCTATAACAGGATTCAAAAAAGAACTAGAAAAGTTCATGGAGGATAGGTCCATCAATGGCTATTAGCCAGGATGGGCAGGGATGGTGTTCTCATCCTGTTTGCCAGAAGC